TGGAGGTGGGGTAGAGGTCAATATTGTACAGGCGCCCATGCTGAATAAATACATATCGTAACAGCTAGAGATAACATGCTATGTTGGCACCTGAGAGGTTGTGGTGTGTGACTGCTGAATGGCACCCGACAACCGGAGAAATTGCATTCTGTTATTGTGGGAAAGCAGACCATTTTTTTTATTCCCCTGCCCTCTCAAAGTTATTAATGTCGTAATGAATTGAACTCTCTTCCTCTCTTTATCTCTATCTCCCTCTGTCTTTCTTTCTAGTTCTCTCTCTCTCTCTCTCTCTCTCTTCATCCTTCCCTTTCACTCTCTCTCCCTCTTTTTCCTTCCCTTTATCCCCCCTCTCCCCCCTAACTCTCTCTCTTTCTTTTTCTCTCTCGCCTACCCCTATATCATGAATTATATTTTTAACCGTAAAGCCTTCGCTAGAAGTTATGAAATCTATAAATAACATTGGGTAGATAAGACAAGCGTTGATTCAGAGCGCCGGACAGAGGTGTGCTGAGGGACATTATGTCCTATAGTAGGCTACGGTCAAAAGTGCGTGGCGCAACTATTTTTTCAAACTCCTGCATACTGTGTTCTAGAAAAAAAATTAATAAATACTAATTTAAAAAATCCCTGTCGATGGTTTCTACTTGTTTTTAAAAGTTGACAGCTCTGGCAACATCGCTTTAAAAAGCAAGTCTGTCTTTTTTTTTTTTTCGAGTTGCATCATTATGCTTATTGCACGTATGTTTAGAGAACCTCTAGGGCAAAAAAAATGTGTTCACTATAAAATTAATTTCTTGTAACAAGTGCTATGAACAATCATAAATTATTTTCCGCGTGATGGAGGTTTAGGTAGTATTTCATATACATTTATGAAGAAAAGATTTTTAATCGAGCCTCAATAGTTGTGGAAAACTGTGATTAAGTTAAGACAAATTGATACAAACTGCTGTGCAAAGTATTGGTGGCATTGATTCACCCGTCAAAGAGATATTTGAGGATAAGCTGCGCAATGAATTTTTTGCCGCACTATAGAACATGATATCATTCTTAATGACCAGGAATTCCTGGAGTTAATTTTAGCCTGTACGGACTATCAGTCTCTCGTTATTCAGCGCGGGCGCCCTCATGCGCTCCAATATAACGTTTTCCAAGAAATCCGTTTTCTGACGAAACTGCTCATACCTGATCTTCGTTTCATACTCTACAGCTGGGTTTTTTTTTATTGGGAATTCCAGTGCTGTTAATAGATTAAAAGAATTTAACTTTTAGCCCTATTGTTTCACGATTACATATTTAGATTGTAATTATAGGCCTACAAAAGTTTTAGATTTTTGAATGGCCTTTAAAAGTTGTGATACCAATTTTTGTGTATACTTCCAATCGTAAATGGGTATGTTCGTATAAATAACTATGTCTTTTACCTCACTCTGGATCCCGCAATAGTTCAATTGGTAGAGCGGAGGACTGTAGAGGCAAACTCTTGATATCCTTAGGTCGATGGTTCGAATCCGTCTCGTGGGAATATATTTTTTGTTGTTGTTGTGTGTATATGTGTGTGT